CGAGACGAAACGAGATGAGATAAGTTGAATAGAATAGAGATACGAATAAAAACGAACAGAAATGAATAGAAACGAAGGTAAAACAGAGACGAAGAGAAACGGGCAGAACCGAGTAGAAACGAATAGAAAAGAGGTGAGGCTCGGAGAAGGAAAAATGAATTACACACAAACAACATCCACACGCTTCGACCGATCGAAGCGAACTGAGCGGCCGCGTTGTGCGTCGACCGGCTGGCAACGCACCGTCGACTTCCCCTTCCATCGTACCGCGCGCTTCCCCACCAGCCAGCAGCGTGCTGTGACCATCGTAACTTACCCCCATCGGCGTGCCGTTACCGCACTCCTTCCAACTCTGAACTCCTTCACTACCGCGCTACGTGTGCATAGGGGAAGCGCGCGCGCGGAAGCATGTCGAGTTCAGAAGTCGAGCCGCGGTCCGGCCTGGCATGTTGGTACGGAAAGGGGGAGGTAAGGGGAAGAGTCGATGTCTCACGCGGTTTCGGCGATGCGAGGATTGGCTGGCCGTGAATGGCGCAGGTGGCGGCGGTTCGGCCGACCGGCCGACCGGCCGGCCTGGTGGGCCGGGGCAATGACTGCATTTACGTGGCATCGTGTACACGCGTTAAAGAATCGAAGCCACGATGTCCTTTGCAACATATTTTGCCAAAAACAGATGCAATGCGTTTTTTCCTGACGAGTTTTCGTCCAGGACCATGATTCTTCGTACGGTTTCATCACTGTTTTTAGTCATTTCAAATAAATTTTAAAATTATATTTTTATGTCTTAGTTTTTATTTTCGTTCGTAAATACATAAAAAATTATTAGAATAAGTTATAATAAAATATTTAATATTTCTATAAGAGAGAAATACATTGTAGCAGTATGCTGGAAAAATTGCTGAGTTTATGAAATTGACATGTAATCATTTATTGCAAATATTTCTGGATATCATAAATAAAAGAATTTTGATTCATAAAACATGAGTTGATTTAAATAAACTTGAACTCTGTTTAGGGTTTGCCTTTGGTTCATCCAAATTTGGGTTGGCCCATCGCTTCGCTACAGAACCGGTTTGTATCTCTGGTTTCTACCACCACCTATACCTATAGTAATATTACTATGTATACATACATATATAAAAAATGTGTGTATATTAATAAATGAGAGTTTTTAATTTCTATTGTGATTACTCCATTTGCCTTCAAATATCACTTTTGTGTGTGTGTGTGTGTGTGTGTACGTACACGATATATATGTAAACACGTGACGTCCAAAGACCACCACGCCCCTTGATCAGCAGGTTAAACATGCTTTCTTGCAGGATCGCCATGCGTGCGTTCCAATAATTAAACACATACGCAGGACCGCCCAGTGTCGTAGGACTCTTGTCATAGGACCCCAATTATTGGAGCAAAGCTCCTTTCAACTTGCATTCGGTTTCGAATAATGAGAACAAAGTGGACGAAGATTGAATTGTAACATAGATGGAAATTGTCGAAATTCAAATCTTGTTTTTCGATCGCGACCGGCCGTCGCTCACGTAATCAATAATCACGCAAATGAGTAAACTATCGCACGATACATGGTCGGGCGAAAGCAAAGAGATAGCGAAAGTTGACATCCAATATATTTTCAATGGTTATTTTTGTCTCTGGTTATTCTGCGTTCCAAGAAATGTGTTAATATAAAGCACGAAATGAGATAGACACAAAAATAGTGATTGCGTTGAATTTAAGAGGTAGAAAATGGAGTAAATTGAAACACGATAGGACATAAAGTGAGATAAAACACAAAATATTAAGTAAAAAATACAGAGAAAGATAAATACCAAATGGATGTGGAATCTTGACCGAAAATCTTAGCGAGAGCTAAATCTTAAATGATTTCATATTAACGAGTTATTTCGTCGTCCTAGAATCCATCTCGTTTTCATCGTATCGTTTTACATAACCGATGCACTTATAACCGTTCAACGTCAATAATCTTATCGACTTATCCTGACCCCGACGACCCGGTAACGTTGCCCTGTGACATAAATTCAAAAAATTTTATCGAAACGACGCATTCGTCATTCGTTTCTCTTACGAAATAGGGCCAGAGGCTTCGTTGATAACAGTACAGCAAAATAAATTCGATGCGTAAAGCACGTATGTATAAAGATCATCGTAGAAGACTTGAATCGTTTCACATTATATCTTTTATCTGTTTTCAAAAATATAAAAAATAAAAATCCTTTTTTTCGAATTATATGTAATTTTTCGTGAGAAAATTGTGATATTGTTATAACGTTAAAAGAAATAAGGAACAATGGACTGTTCTCCTTTTTACAAAAATATATTGTGGAAAAATACACTTTAGGTTCGAAATTAATTATACGTCGAACAAAGTCAGATATTTGCCGACCCGAAGAGACCCGCACTGTTCACATGCAAATGCACTTTTCCTATGCGAGCGACTGTGTTCATGAATATATGGAAGCGCGCGTGATTCTGTAATTCTACTTCTAGAATACCTATCGTCGCACACAGCATTTGAGAAATGGTTACCGATAAACTAGGCAAGGCGTAAAACTCAACAACACTTGAGATGTTTAAATATTTGACGGATATATTATATTACAATTATTTGCG